CTGACAATGAATCATATGGGTAGACTTTCTGACTGGTAACCAATGATTATTGGGCATAGCGAGGGCATGATTGGAAACTTGAGCACAGATATGTCATTAAGCATTGCCAAACCTCCAGGATTTCCCTGGAATCTCCAGGAATTAAACATTAATTTCTTAGAAATGACTACAAGCAACTCAGAATGAAGATGGATCTTTAATTATTTGAACACTTCCATTAGCTATGAAACTGCTTCACATGAGAATGGTGGGATTGGGGATGAGATAGATGCAACTAGTCCCCAGGTCTCTAAGTAATACAGAGCCTAAAGTTCCCTGCTGCTTTCTTTATGGCAACATCTCAGCCAACCACAGTCAATTTGTTGTAAAAACCGAAAGAAGCAGATGCTGTAAATCAGGAACAAAAACAAAGTTGCTGGGATAGCTCGGCAGGCCTGGTAGCATCTGTGAAGGAGAAAACAGAGTTAACGTTTCGGGTCCAGTGACCCTTCCTCAGAACCCTTCCTGAGGAAGGGTCACCGGACCCGAAATGTTAACTCTGTTTTCTCCTTCACGGATGCTACCAGACCTGCTGAGCTTTTCCTACAACTGTATGAGTTTTTGCTCATGAATTGTTGTGATCCTATCAAATTTGGCGTTCTTGCATTTGTCCTGGTAAGTACAAACCAAGAAGCTGAAAGAACATATCTCTTTCTTCAGCCATAAAATGATGTTCTTTTGATACATACACGACTTCTTGATACTGTTGTGCTCACTACACTAAGTGAGGCAATTTTTCATGCACCAAGGTTTATCAGGGAGCCAATGTCATTCCAATGTTTCTTTATTGAGCAAAGCAAGTTTTTGATTTATAACATTTTATGCCGCTCCGTTAGTTGTTTGCTTAGTAGATTTTTTTTGCAATATTGAAGCTTTTGATAATTTATAGTAATTTTACTGCACGTTCTCCTGCAGCAACTCCAAAGGTAGCCACAATGATTTCTCCAATGGAATGCTTCTATATTTCTGCTTTCTGTACAAAATAAATGGAAAAAAGAAAGAACTTCTATTTCTATAGCACCTTTCAGAACAGTAGAAAGATAACAAAATGCTTTACAGCCAGTGATTGCCCTTGCCATCAAGGCTGCATTTGTGGCATCAAGGACCCCTGGCAAAACCAATGGGAATCAAGGGGAAACTCTCTGTTGGTTGGAGTCAGAGCTGGCACAAAGGAAGATGGTTGTGGTTTTTGGAGGTCAATCATCTCAGTTCCAGGACATTCTCTGCAGGAGTGTGTCAGAGTACTGTAGGCCCAAACATTTTAAGTTACTTCATCAATGATCTGTCCTCCATCATAAGATCAGAAGTGGGGATGTTTGCTGCTGATTGCATAATGTTCAGAATATTCGCATCTCGTCAGACCTGGCCTTAGGTTGAAAGATGGCAAGTTACATTCACAGCTCACAAGTCTGGGTGGCACGGTGACTCAGCGCTTTACACTGCTGCCTCACAGCACCAGGTACCTGAGTTCGATTCCAGTCTCGGGCGACTGTCTGTGTGGAGTTCGCACATTCTCCCTGCGTCTGCATGTGTTTCCTCCGGGTGCTCTGGTTTCCTCCCACACTGTAGGGATTCTATGATTCAATGCAGTGCTAGGCAATGACCATCTCCAATAAGATAGAATTTAATCATTGCCTTGATATTCAATTGTGTTACCATCACTGAATACTCCAGTCCCAACATCCTGGGGGTTACCATTGACCGGAAACTTAACTGAATTACCATATAAATACAGTGGCTACAAGAGCACATCAGAGGATGGGAATGCTCCTCATGACTCCCCAAAACCTGTCCATCATCTAAAAGGCCCATGTCAGGAGGGTGGTGGAACATTACTCACTTGCCTGGATGAGTGCGGTTTCAACAACACTCAAGAAGTTTGACTCCATCCAGAACAAAGCAGCTTGTTTGATTCACAAAACCACAAGCATCCACTCCCTCCACCATTGATGCTCTATAACAGTATGTGTACCACCTACAATATACACTGCAGAAATTTACCAAGGCTCCTTTGGTAGCACCTTCTAAACCCACAGCTACTCACAACCATAAGAACAAGTGCAACAGATACACAGGAACACCACTGCCAGCAAGTTCCCTTCCAAACCACTCATCATCCTGACTTGGAAGTATCTGTCAATCCTTTAGTGTTGTGAGTCAAAATCCTGGAAATCACTCTCTAACTGCATTGTGGGTCTGCTTACAGCACATGGACTACAGTGGTTCAAGAAAGCAGCTCACTGCCACGTTCCCAAGGGCAACTAAGAATGGGCAATAAATTCTGGTCCAGCCAATAACACCCATGTCCCATGACTGAATTTAAAAAAAACCCTTGAAATGTAGCCGCTTGTTGCATGTAGGAGACAGAGCAGCCAACTTGCACACAGCAAGTCCCACAAACAGTAAAATATATCAGTAACAATGACCAGATATTCTAGTTGTGAGATAAATATTGGCCAGGTTGCTGGGGAAAGCCCCCGGGCTCTTCTTTGAAATTGTGATAATGGGTTCACTTATGTCCACCTAAGTGGGCAGAGCTCAATGTCTCAACTAAGGCACTTCTTCAGTAAAGCCCTCCCTCAGTCCTGCAATGGGAGTGTAGCAATGTTTCAGAATAACTCAGAGGCATGCTGCCCATAGTAAGAAAGTATAATATTTGGGGAGATGAGGGGGATTGGTGAAGTCAAAAGGGTATAAAAAGAGACTTGAGTTAAGATGTTCATTTTAGAGTAGAAGTAACCAAATTCATTGCACTTTTAATATAACTATCACAATTGACTATCATA